AATCCTAGTTCATACCCCGGCGTCTACAGATTCATCTTTTCTATATAATCCTTTAATTTACTAATTAATACTCTAATTTTACATTTTATTAAAATAAACCCAACTAATCTATAAATTATTAATTAACTGCTAACTAAATTACTTTTACTCAATCTTAAAGTATAATCGCGATTGCTGGCACAAAACTTAGTCAGACTTCTTATAACTCCCAAATCAGGCTACTGCCTATAATTTAATATTTTATACTGTGACTTTAACTCTCTAAACACTAGCTTCTACTTTATAATTAAACTTATTTTAATAAATTCACTTACTTATTTCCTCCCACAATTATTTACATGTATTTACCAGTTATAACATAAAAGCATTAAGCAAGAATAAAACTTCCACAAATGAATAAACAAGGATATATTCAACTTCATAATTAAATAAACAAACTATAATAAAATACATTTTATTATTTATATTTATTTTTATAATAAATTTATAGTTTATAATAATAATTATTAAAAAAAATCAATTATTCTAAACCCCCCAAATAACTGTCCCATGATGGCCCCTCACCAAAAAATTATAAAGGCTTAATAACCATATAAAATATAATTGAAAATTATTCCCACAAAATAAAAATTGTTAGGTAACTTATTAGTAATATCAATTAAGTAAGTAGAAAATGAAGTTATGAATTTGGTTAGTATTTACTACTAATTGAGTAACCTTTAACTAAAATATCTAAATTGTAGACAAATATCTACAAATTTGGAGTTTTAATTTGATATTTTTTTAAGTGCTGGTCTGTTTTAAAATGGCTCAATATACCTGTACTAAAACAGAAATTTATATTATGATTTTTTTTAATTAAAATATAAGTATTTTCAATATTGAGACCACACATGGATGGCTACCATGCGCATATAACCTCCATTTTTTATATAGGAAATTATCTTTATTTTATAAATCCTATATAAATATACCATATTTGAGTAAAAATTTATATTGAAATTAAAAAAAAAACCCTAATCAAAATCCACTCTTAATTATATACCAATAAAGTATACTACATAAAACCTTATTAGGGAGTTTATTGAGTATGCTAATTAAATTCATAACTTTACTAATTTAGTATAAATAACATAACTAATTTACCAAAAAAAAATTAGGAGAGCCTGTGAGAAAATCATGTTTCCCTTATAATTTAGAAAAAAAACTTTAAATATAATATTTAAGACCACATGTGGACAGCTCCCATGCGCTCATAACTTCCATTTTCAATTAAATTACATACAAACCTTAATTTTACGATCTAAAATAAAAGTGTTGGTCTTAAAGTTGAATAGAAGATTTCCCATACTCAAGTAAAGCTTTGTACCTTCTTAAAATTATATAATTTCTTTAATTATATATATATTTATAGATATGTAAAGAGAGAGCTAAAGATTTTATCTTTCAACTAAAATTATACACAATAGTGTAAAAATATATTTGTAAGGTGAATCTAAAATGAACACTTATATAATTTCATTGAAATATATTATTAACTGAAAAGTCGATTTTTAATTATATAAATCAACTGAATAAGATCTATAATGAAATCTAAGCCCTTTAAAATGGTCTCTTCCTCCTGAGGGGAGATCCCATTTCCCAATGGGCTTAGACTTATATTGAGAGAGGGAGCAATACAATTACAGAGAGTTGGGTATAAGACTAAATTATCTCCTGTATATAATATTAAATAAATTATGTACATATAGTATATATATATATATATATATATATATATATATATATATATATATATATATATATATATATATATATATATATATATATATATATATATATAGTATATATATATATATATATATATATATATATATATATATATATATATATATATATATATATATATATATATATATATATATATATATATATATATATATATATATATATATATATATATATATATATATATATATATATATATATATATATATATATATATATATATATATATATACTTTTACAATATCTTCTTCCCTTTTTGCTTTTTTATTAGTCATCTTAATTATAATCTCTTTTTTTATATATCTTACATTTTGAAAGATGATGCCTGAAAAAGGGCTGTCTTGATAAGAAAGATCATGTAAATAACTTTACTCATATTATCTATGTACAATGGGATTCAACCAATTCTATAAAGATCAAAACTTTTCGTGCCGTTTACATCAGTATACATAAGATAAGCTGATCCTAAGTTAATGGGTTCATACCCTGTTTATGAGAGCGTTAACCTCTCTCTTTTTAACGCTAATTTCTCCGTCTCAATTAATATTTATTTCATCTCTAATATCAGGAACAACCTTATCTATCTCTGTCACTTCATGGTTTGGAGCATGAGCATGTTTAGAACTAAACCTTTTATCTTTTATTCCTCTAATTATTAAAAAAATAATCAATACTCGTCCGAATCAACACTTGAATACTTTCTGGTTCAAGCCTTTGGGTCTGCCATTATTATTTTTTTCTGTCTCAATTATATTAATTTCTCCCGGCTTCGCACCACTTTGTTTAACTATTGCTCTTCTTCTTCTTAAACTAAGAGCGGCACCATTTCATTTTTGGTTCCCCCAGGTTTTAGAAGGAATAAATTGAATTCAATCTAATGCACTTATAATTGTAAAAAAAAATTGCTCCTATACTTTTAATCTCATATCTTACTCTTAAACATCTAGTAACTTCAATTCTATTTCATGCAATTATCCTATCAGCAATTATTGGCGCAATTGGAGGTATTAATCAAATGCTGCTTCGAAAAATTATAGCTTTTTCTTCTATTACTAGTGAAAGTATATGAACAATATACAATATAATTACAAAGGTCCCAGTTGATGATTTACTAGATTTCCTCATAGATTCCCTGGATGATATTTCACTGCCCGTCTCGAAAGACGACTTCATCGAACTCATCAAACTATGTATTAAGGATTGCAAATTCGAATTCAATGGAGAATATTATGCTCAAAAATTTGGTATGGCAATGGGTAATCCACTCTCACCTGTATTAAGCAACCTATATATGGAATTCTTTGAAAAGAAACTATTAAGTAATATTTTACCACCCTCAGCAGTCTGGTTTAGATATGTTGATGATGTATTATGTCTCTGGCCATGTAATGAGGACCTAAAAGCTTTCCTGCCACAACTTAACAACTTAGCCCCCTCGATCAAATTCACTGTGGAATTAGAGCAAGACTGTAAATTGCCATTCCTAGACTGTCTGATACACAGAATAGGTAACACTTTTAAGTTCAGTATTTATAGAAAACCAACTAATGTGTGTTCATACATTCATTATTATTCTGCCCACCATAATAAAGTCAAACAGTCAGTATTTTCAACAATGTTTTTACGTGCCTTGAGAATTTGCAGTCCGGAATTCACCGATGAGGAATACAAATATATATATATAATATTGGCTCAAACCTTAAATACCCTAGATCTTTCATAGACAAATGCCTAAACATTACTAAGAAAAGTTTTTATAGAACTGATCCCAAGCCCACCCATGACCATAAGAATATCTTAATATTACCATTTCACAAATATTTCTCACACATTCCTTCACAACTAAAAACCTGGAACGTCAATGTGGCATTTAAAAACTCATGCACTGTTAAACAAATGTTAATCAAGAACTCCCCCAACAACACAATTGGTTGCATTTATATAGTTCCTTGCAAGGAATGTAATATGTTTTACTTAGGCCAAACAGGTAAAGATCTTGCAACTAGAATTAAACAACACAAATACAGTGTTAGGACAGGCCAGGAATCCAATGCTCTGTTTGTTCATATGAGGGACAACAAGCATTGCATTGACTGGGATAATGCCTCCTCAATATTACCATGTAATTCAATTGATAGTAGGAACATCATAGAATCTAGTCTTATTAAACATACCGAAGCATTCAACATGAATTTGAGTAACGGCATGTACAAGCTGGACAATTTTGTAATTAAGAAGATTTGTGACCAGGTGAGAAGGCCGGGTCACCTGACCATCTGACCTGACTACCGACCGTTGAGGTGCTATTTAAAGATTAGTAGGGTCATTACCTAATACCTGACCATTGTGGACCTGGTCTCACCCTCCTCTGTATATATACACCTCTAGTCTGTACTCACCCCTGAAGATGTGAATTACAAGAAAGCGCTTGGGAACTTCGTGTTTTCTTCTTTCCTTGTGGTTATCAAGTCGAGCAGTGGCGAAGAGGATACAGTACTTATCATTTAGTCAAGATACAGTTGCCCACAAGTGCAGTGGCTAACAACATATTTTTTTTTTCGGAAATATTTGTATTCGAGATTTGTGCAAGGCGATGATGGATGTGATATTTATAAAGGTTCGGCTATGATTCCGACGTTGCCAATATTACAAACATATATATATATATATATATATATATACAAGAAAGCTTAGGAACTTCGTGTTTCTTCTTTCCTTGTATATCAGCATATATATATATATATATATATATATATATATATATATATATATATATATATATATATATATATATATATATATATATATATATATATATATATATATATATATATATATATATATATATATATATATATATATATATATATATATATATATATATATTGCTTGGACAATCAGTCACGTCTCTGTTACCCACTATAGGCAAGTGCTCCTAGGTGGAATAGGAAATGCCATAGATAGGTGGAATACTATACCTGTGGGCAACTGGGTCATCGTTAGGTCTGCAAATATTACAAACAATGATTTAAATTTTATTTATGTGATTGTGTGGTTTGCTTACTTCATTTCAAGCTAAGGACTGACTTTATCACCTATTACAGCCTAAATTCAAGAAATCATGAAGCATACCTTGACCTGATATGTACCGTATAGTATAACAGAAATGGTGTTCAATTTCTTTGGTAATAATAACCTTTTCTTCATTATAGTCGATGACTTTAGGAGACATCACCGCCAAGAGGGTGTACACCCGCCAATAATGGACCTGAGGCTCACTCAAATCACTTCCGTCTTCTCAAGACGATATCCAGTATCTTCACAATCATCAACTCCAAAATACCTGCTTCACTTGTACTCTTCAAAATTAGATAGGAGGATTTGAAAATAAAGCTAAAGAAACGTAACGCCGAAATCGCCGTCATGTTCACTTTCTCATAATCTTGTTTTCATCAATTACAGGTATAGGAAATGATTTATTAAATAAAAGCAAAATCCTCAAACGTGTTTTACTGTTTCCTTTCGCTCGTAGGATGTTGTAATGATATAAGTAGATAATCAACACACTTTTTGTCAATTATTAAAAGTTTCATGAAATAGAGTAACCGAGTGTTTATTGACCACAGCTTATTGAATTATGTCAACAATACGATATCTTATGCTTCAGTGAAACACGCTGTGATAATGAAAATATGGTAAATGTAGAAAGAAAGATAAAAAGTGTAAGGTTTTCCATAATGTATAGAAACAGCAGTTTTAAGTAAATATACGTCTGGTGGAATTATAATTGCTGTATCCCACCCAGTAACTCTCGGAAAGCCCAAATTGAACACTTTGATGATTTAGTAAATTTCTTGTTAAATTATAATACTGATGATTACCCTCATAGCTTATGTGGTGATAATAATTCTCACACAGATGTAAAACCGACATTGTTCAATTTAATGAATATTGTATTTTTTTTTACGGGGATTAGCCCACCCAGGCACAGGTCACTGACCCACATCGAGGCCTGAGGGGCGAAAATGTAATAATAGTATAGTAACATTAATAGTAATACTAATAAAAATAAAAATAATAATAATAAAGATAATAATAATAATAATTCAGAGTAAATACAACTTATAATAAAAATACACAATTAAAAATAACATAATAAAGTAATAACAATAATAATAATAGCACTGTAATAATAATAATAATAATAATAATAATAAGATCAAAGTGAGAAACAGTATATATATATATATATATATATATATATATATATATATATATATATATATATATATATATATATATATATATATATATATATATATATATATATATATACATATATAACTTCAGCAATGGACATGCTACATGGAAAGAGTAGTTGCATAATGAAGAGAAAAACCAGGGAAAGCACAAACGTTTTGACTAAGTTGGGTTTCTTTAATCACTAACGTTTCAGAAAATCATTTTTCATCATCAGAGCCTATAAAACAAGATTTATTTTTAAATACAGGTGATATACAATAAAAACGCAACATTATACCAAAATTTACCTTCCACAAAAAGGAGCATTATAATTTAAAACCTATAAAAATGACGAGAGACCTATGTACAAAACTAAAATCAGAAAAAAAATAATTAAAATATACAGGGGGTAATATCTGTTGTATTATATTATAAAAACAAACAATCATTTACAGCCAGTTTTAAAAATTCTTTAAATTGTGGTCCATTGAATCCACCAATTATATCAAAACTAAAAACCCAAAAGTGTATTGGCAAATTCTACAGTCTACAGGGATATTCAGATAATGATAAAGGAATTCTTGATTCATTTCAAAGAGCTGGCTGAGGAAGAATCAATGTTAAAGTCTCATGGGAAGAATACCAAGCACAGTTTGAGTTACAAGAGGAACAAAACGGGTGGGGCGACAAGCAAACACAAGAAATATACTCTGCCATGTTCGTAGAGTGATACAGTATCTATAATTTATAAAAAATTTTTAAAGTCCTGCTATAATAGTCGAGATAAGTTTCTTTCTCTAGAAACAGGGCCGCCATTTGCAGTGACGTCACCAGTTTCCCCGCAGACGACGTTCTCCAACAAACTCACCGTAGTCTTAGGTAGTACAAAGGATGGCCTCTTCAGACCCCAAATGCCACATTCAGGTAAGTTTTAAGGGTGTTGTTTTTATGGTCTAAGTCATGGACATTTCGTGAGTAAAGAAATGTGCCGTGAAGAGCAGCTTATGGACATAAAAAAACTCCCATGTTCACACCAGCTCAGCTGTCACGTATTCTTACCTGGTAGACTTTCTCTTTTTTTTTCCAGTGCAATTAGAGTACGCCAGTACTAGATGGAAATACGAGTCAATTTAGAAGTAATGCCATTGTCTGGACTTTGTTTTGAGAATGCATTGGGATATATCATCATTTATATCAATTAATGGGTAAAATTTTACTTTAACTACCATAATATTTAGACGTTTAGATTCGAGATAGGCTATATTGGGTAAATTTTATGTTTTGGTCATCCCTGTACTTAGACATGCAGACTATGTTTTTGTCTGATGGTTTGCAATGTGTTATGAACGATTTTGACCTTCATTTCTATCGGAAATCACTAGTTTTGAATTACTACCCCCTCCCCCCCTCCTACCGATATATGTTAAGCTACAGTTATAACTCATCATACCCTTACCTAACCTAACCTCACCAAACCTAACCTAATATATGACCTGTATTTTCTTATGCTATCGAAAAACTTTTGCGACAGAAATCCCGTAGAGAGCATGTGTCTTATTGTTTAAAGTACTTAATCCCATAATTAGAATCTTAAGGTTCCCCAGATGACCAAAACTAAAATAATACCAATATTGTTTGGAATGTTTATGCTATGAAATTTGTAGTAGAGGCAGCTAATATCCATTGAATTAGTTAATGTGCTTAGTAATATTTATTCAATATAGCATTACTGTGTTGCACAGTAAAGTACAATCAATTGTCTAATAATATCCATTTGCAGAGCCGATCAGCCGAGGGAGATGAAAAAAAAATGACCCAAAGTAGAAGATGTCTTTATGAAATTATGATTGTAGAGTATTATGAAGAACCTTGCCTCCAGCAATGAAGCGCGTTAAATTACATCTTGTCATTTGATCATCTCGAGCCCATCCCCTGCCATGGTCGTCCCTAGTCCTTCCATAACATTAAATATAGACGTCAGTGACGAAAACTTACATTTTCTAGAAATGAAATAGAGAACAGTGATGAAAACTTCCATGGTGGAGTTATCGGTCTTTTGCATCATTTTGGCACCCAGCAAGTAAATACATACTGTGGGAGGTTTGAATCATAGACCACGTTCTTTGTAGACTTTATTCTAACAGCGTCAGCTGGTGACCAGGGTTGCCAAATGTACGACAAGCTTCACGGCCAAATTCACGCCATCTCACGGCCAAAACTTTTTGGATGGGAAGCACAAGGCTATTTTTGTAATCCACACAAAATAAAAGTATCCCCTACAATATCCACTTAAAATTTCGTAATAAAACTAACTTTTCACTTAGAATTGAGAGCCCAATAATTACATAAACATAATATCTATAATCTACAGTGAAGATTTACCTTAATCTGAAATGGTGGTGGAGCATGATATTGGTGGAGAACTTGATAACCTTAGTTGGCATAAGCAAAAACGTCTAGTTCGTCATCGTCCCCTGGTTTGTTATATTTTCTACCACTGTAGTAAGACCCTTTCCATTTACTAGTGGACATTTTGAAAACTAGCACTCGGAATTTCAGACAGTAACTCAGATGGCTTTGTAAGCTCTGAAGCTTAACCCATATGCTGGACACGTTCAGCCTGAACAACTCAAATATGAGAACTAAAAACTAAAGTAGTAACTAGAAAGATCAGTCAGCTCAGTAGGTCACGTAAACATGTGAAGAGGTGAGGTCACTGATTAAGTGAGGTCATGACAAGGTGAGGTCACTGAGCCAGCATTTTCATTGTGAAATTTGAAAATCTGCTAGACTTTTCTTCAAAATCCACAAGATGAGGAATTAATACGTGTTTTACAAAATTCGGCCAAATAGTTTGGCCGTTACCATCCATTTTTTCACGGCCAGGCGAAGTTTTTTACGGCCTAATTAGAGAAATTTGGCCGTGGAAACGGCCATTTGGCAACCCTGCTGGTGACTGGCAACCGGGCGCTGCCATAGACAAGCCCCCACCTCAATATGGGAAAACATATCGTGCGATGGTACAATCTTACATCTCCCCCCCCCCGCCAAGTTAAAAGGAAATGACAATGCACATTTGAACTAACAAAAGGAAAGCAATGCACACAAAAACAACAATAATGCAAGAAAAACCAGTCAAACAAAGAAAAACAAAACTCTAAACTAATTTTACATCACATATACACTACACCACGTAGTCCATCAACCAGCCCTGGGGCCTACGGCCTCTCCTGGGCCTGGCCGCGCTCGACTGGGGAGGGGCCGGGGGGTGCGAGAGAGGGCGCGGGTACGGAGGGCACAGCAGAAGGGGGGGCAGGAGGCACAGCTTGGTGCACCACCGGAGTAGTAGGCACAGGTGTGGAGCCGTTTCGCAGGTGTCGTCTGTTGCGGATGGACACCCTGTCACTGCCACTCAACCTGACGGCATACTGCCTGTGAGGGCGGGCTTCCATCACTATGCCTGTCCTGTCCCAGAGCTTGGTAGCTGCGTCCTGCACACGCACCTGCATGCCCACAGCTAGGGGAGCCAGCTGGCGGGACACCTCCCCCGCGGCAGGACCCCGTCCTGGGTTTCAGCCAAGCGCACCTCCCTCATACGAAGTGCCCGCCGCCAGTGTTGGTCCACCTTATAGTGCTGACTGGCCACGGGAACGCCGTCACGGAGCTTGCGGCCGGTGGCGAGTTGGGCGGGCGACTTGTTCACCCCCCGCAGAGGCGTGTTCAGGTACTGGAGGAGGGCCTGGGATGTCCTATCGCAGTCCAGGCTACCCCCGGGCCCAGTGTTATCCCTGAGGAGCCTCTTGGCGGCCTTGACCCCAGCCTCTGCCCTGCCATTGGACTGGGGAAAGTGGGCCGACGAGAGGCGCACCTCGACCCCCCCATGACTTGAGGAAATCTGTCATCTCAAGGCTGGCAAGGTTGGTACCTCCATCCGTGGAGATCTGCTCAAGTGCCCCCCACCTCGTGAAGTAGGCCCGCAGACGGGCGATGATTTTTCCAAAGGTGGCCTCGTTGGGGAAGTGGGCGATCTCCAGCCAACCTGTGAGTCGGTCAGCATATGCTAGGTACGTGTGGCCCTGCAGGTGGAACAAATCGGCCACCACTTGTTGAAAGGGATAGTCTGGCGCTGGGGTCAGGACTGTTAGGTGTTCTGGGTAATAAGTTCTATATACAGGAGAGAACACAAACACCTGTATAGTTTTGTAGGTTCGGTTTACTGGATAAGAGTATGTACACAGAGGGGGGGTAGCACTCCTCAGCT